ACACCTGGTGTACGCATGCTCCTGACTCACCCTCAGCTGTGCCTGCAGCGTGTCATTCATGCTGCTGACCTTGCTGACCTCTTTCAGGGACCCATCTGAGGTGAAGAACCGTACGCTGCAGCAGGGTACAGAAAGTGAGATGGGGGGGGGGAGGGGTGGTCAGTGTGGCAGACTGCAGGAGAGCAAGCCGCCCCCAGGGGAGGATGCCCCGCACCTGTGCTTCTTTACAGCCTGGCTGTAGCTGGAAGACAGGCAGCACGTGGACGTTCTCCAGTAGTCCTGCTGCTCCAGCATGCCCAGGTTGCCCACCAGCACTGGGATTTTGTGGTACTGGCTGTAAGAACAGCAGATTGGGGTGATCGACATCGAGACACAGAATGCGCCCTCATAAATGTCACCCACACCCATCCTCCACCCGTGCTCCAACCTTCCATGTGACATGAACACAGAGTATTCCAGACAGTGGGTGGAGCTGATGGCCGAGGCGTCCGTGGACGTCAGCAGGAGGAACACCAGCTCGTGGTTGCGTAAGGCTCTCCTCAGGTTACGGTGGACCACCTGCTCCTTGAAGGTCATTCGCTGATCTGTGTTCCTCCTTTGCTTGTACCATCCGAGCACGTTCTCCTGGTGGGGGGCAGACAGACAGCCGCTGCAAGGCCAGTAAGATTAAAATTACCTTCGGAAGATCATCTCAACTCTTACCGTTTTCTCAGAGGCCAGGATACGCCTGACTTCTTCTGGTCTCACTTCACCGGCACTGTCGTAAAAACTGATGGGGAACAAAGCAGGAGCAGCAGGACCCAGGGTCCCACAGAGATGGTGAGTGGGAGGCAGCACCTCGTGCTTGGAATCACAATTTCACCTCACCACGGGAGTCAAACAACTATGCAGTGAATAACTTACCTGCCGAGTCTGCAGCAGGAAACATGTTTCTGAATGTCTGAAATGGATACAAACGTACAAATGTCAATATGTACAGCAGATGTGCATAGATGCACTTTTTAGTCTTTTGCTGATGTAGTAAGACCAGATATATCAACAGCCTATGGGTTCCTTGTTTAATGGCGAGAGGTGACTGGAAGGCTGGGGTTACCCACGTATTGTATGTTCATACTGAACGTGGTCCATATGGGAATCCGTGATCTTACACCTCTCCTCCGCCTTGGTCTCCCCCAGGATGAATCCCTCCTGCAGAACAATGCAACTAGATGAGGAACAGGCGTGACTGACATGGGGCTCCACCCGGCCCCCTCCACTCCCATGCTGAAGGCTCCGAATCGGCAACTGCTGTTCTGGACTTACCGCGTCCGAGTCACTATTAAAATGCTGAAACATGAGCGATCCCAGCACGAATCCGGATACACGGACGGTCGTGTGAAGCTCCGCCATGTCCGCGGCGGAACACCCAAACCGAGGAGCACAAACTACAGATCAAACAGATTGAAACTATATAAACGGCTGGTGAAAATGAGAGCGGAAGTGACGTTGTGCTGCCGTTACGTCAGAGGCGGGCGACGTCGATGTGGGCTGTGTCGCGAGCGGGGCTCCGCCAGTCCGACCACACCCCCGGTGGCCCTCAGCTCGTACCCATTAACGCACGTGAATCCCCTATATCGACCTGCTACTGATGCACCGTGCAAAAATTACAAGTACCCTGTTCATTCTTAACCCTCGACACAAACAAAATTAGTGCATTTCAGAATTAAAGCGTCTATATATACTTAAAATTCTAAAGTCTAGGTAAACCTTCTGGTCTATCGTTTATATTTTCACCCACTAATACGTATTTTCATATTAGCATTTAAAGTCCCAGTTTTGTAAAATGTTACTGCCTATTAACCAGTTTCAAATCTATTCTATGCATTGAGTCCTCAGGAGAACTGCGTGGTGTCTTCTCACAATAAAATGTGACGAAGTATAAAAACAAATATTTTGGAAAAACCAGATTGAATTAGAAGTAGGCATGGCAATATTAAGTATTTAGGCACTATTGCATCATGGTTTGCGCTTCACAGCGTTGTCGCGTCCACTAGTTGACCACAAGACGTCGCTTTTGGGCCGCATAACAGGCATTCATCCAATTTGATCGAACTTTGAAACCACGTACAGAGGTTGTTCGTGGACACGTTTAAAGCCGCCTTACAAAGCTGGAGGAGGGGGTTCATACGCACACGGATTTAGGACTTGCTGGGGAGCCCGTCAGCCGCGGAGAGGCATGTTCCCTCTGTGACAGACTGTCCAGGTTTGTTTTTCTGTATCGTCAAGTTTGAACTACTTCAGAGAAAACTTTGTAGGATTTATATCGCCTTCTGTTGCTTAATTCTGGGAATACGTCGGAGAATAAAACATCCACATTATTTAAAATGAACATGGCTTTAACTCTTTGGTTTTACTGTTTCTCTAATTATTGTACATTCCACCGTAGTATTTTACGAATATAGTAAAACTTTACATTTTCGAAATTGTTGTTGTTGGGCGAACTAGGACTTCATTGCGGGGTGTGAGACAACTTAATGTCTTTTGATGATCTGGAGTGAACCGATCTGGCCGCAGTCATACGTTGTCATTTTATTTTACTTTATGCTCACAATATGTGGGTTTCTAATAATGCTAGACATCGTATTTTGTTGACACTGTAAGTTATTTTCCCTTTTATTTGAAACAGATGTGCGTAGGGACACAGGAGTCCGGCGCATTCCCAGTTTTAGAGTTTATATTAGTTTACAGGATTAGGTAGACACACCTGTCCAGGATATGATTGCTGTGAAAGAAAAACAGAGCAGGATCGGCTAGGCGAACGGTATTTATCACAACGGTGTAATTCGACGAGGTACAGCATTTTAGCGGATCAAGGTTACAAGCAGAGACCCCAGGACCAACAGGGGGTAAATACTCGTGCCATGACAGTGCCAGCTGGGTCGGCATTGTTGTTTTTGGCAGCCTGCTCAGAAAGTGAGTTGCGTGTTTTGAGTGGTAAACACTGCGTCTGGGAGCGGGTATGCTAACGCCCCCTCTTGCCATGACCCACAGGAGAACTGTTTTGACAGTGGGATAGCATCATGGAAGAGGCTTGGGGTACCATCCTGGTACTGCTCAGGGTGTGGTTCACCACCGTGGTGCTCCTTATCATGCTGCCGGCCATGTTGGGCATCTCCCTGGGGATCACGGAGATCTACATGAAGATCCTGGTGAAGACTCTGGAGGTGAGTCTATGGTCCTTTGGTGGGGCGGATTGGTGAAGCCAGAGTTGCCAGGCATCTGTCGTGACTCTCAAGCTTTCAGACAGTCATGCTCAGGCAATCAACTGGTAAATCTATATTATTGCATTATAAGCCAAAAATTAGCTACATCAAGCGTTGGGACAGTTTGCAAATCCTACAGGCTATTTACAAGATAATAAAACTCTTACATGCATGTAAATCAGTGTGCAGGCTTCTCTCAAATTGAAAATCTCACTCCAGCCAGTTGACCAAAGTTGGAAAGCCTGCGAAGTAGGATCATGCTGTCATCCATTCTCCTGTCCAAAAACATCTATGGCCCATTTTCACTGCTGACCTTTCCAGTCCCTCCCTTCCCCCAACATATCCCCAGTCAGTGTTACCTGCACTGTCAGGAATGCCCCCCGGAGTCAGGCAGTCACCTGTACCTACACTGTCAGGAATGCGGCCCGGAGTCAGGCAGTTACCTGTACCTACACTGTCAGGAATGCGGCCCGGAGTCCAGCAGTCATTTGTACCTACATTACCTACAGTGTACCTACACTGTATCTACACTGTCTGGAATGCACCCCAGATTCAGGCAGTCACCTGTACCTACACTGTATCTACAATGTCATGAATGTACCCTGGAGTCCAGCAGTCACCTGTACCTACGCTGTACCTATACTGTCAGGAATGCTCCCCAGAGTACGGCAGTCACCTGTACCTACACTGTCAGGAATGCCCCCCAGAGTCAGGCAGTCACCTGTACCTACACTGTACCTACACTGTCAGGAATGCCTCCCGAAGTCAGGCAGTCACCTGTGAATATCCTGTTTCCATGGACAGTGGGCAACGCTGCGGATCCAGAAGCACAACAGGAGGCAGGACCTAATCAAGGCCACTGTCCCCAATGGTGAGTGTCCTCGTGGGTGGGGGGTTGTTACATATCACCTCAAATAGCCTGTTTTATTTGTGCTTTTATCAGCAGATTGATTTCCACCTTCCAATAAAATGAGTTACAGAAGACAGCCCACTGGCATTGTACACTGTGCATTCCTGTGATGAGCCAGATTTGAGTGAGATTTATGACTTAGTGGTGTTACCACCTTTATCTTTCTGTTTTGTTTTATTGTGGCATCATGATTTCTCCTCTACATGCACCCTTCTTAAGCGTGTGTCTGTGTTCATGGAGGCAGGTTTTCATTGTCTGTGTCCAGTTTTGTGTTGTATGATCATTTTGATATCGGTAGGTATGTGCAGCCATCTTGGATTAACGGAGGCCTAGCTTTTTGCGCGGATGACAGCACCGCAGTGTGTTCAGGCATGCCTGCACTCCAGGCTCCAGTTGGCATGTCAGAATCTTCTGGGCCTTTCGTTTTGAGCCTGGGGGGGCATCCATGTGTGGATTTAGAGCAGGGCAGCTGAGGTTGGCGCTTGCGGTGTCCCTGCCGTCTGTGCCCAGAGGTCATTTCTGATTTCACAAGCATTGGTGTGGTAGGCCCTCCTTTGCCGGACCTTGGCCAATGAGCTGCTGTGAGCCTCCGCTTCAGCCAATGAACGAGGCTCTTCAGATGCTTCTTTGGTAGCCTATGACATTAGGGCTGGGCCACATGGCAAAATATTTTGTAACAATATTTGTTTCATGTCAGTCTATATCGATAATGATCACGATGTAATTCATAAATCATTATTTTCAATAATAATTCAATACTTCTTTGCTTTGAGGCTCTATTTATGCTTTAAATTCCCTTAGGATTCCCCTTAAACGGGTTCCCCTCAAATAGGACATTTAAATGATTACATGTTGAACGGACTGAAACTGAAATCTAATGTTAATAACTAAATAATACAATAATATTTTTGCCCTAAAGCTTTACACTAGTGATACGCCGATATTATGGTTTATTGCTAGTTTCTCTTTTTCTGACTGCCTCGCTGCTCGTTACAGGGGATGGGTTTGATATCGGTGGTAGAGTTTTCCACCGGCCTGGTGTTGAAAAATAAAATGTGGTGTCCTGATTTTAACCAATGTGTGACGCGACTGAAAGTTGCAGCACTAATTGCTGGTGTCTGTGACTGTGAGTGCTTGCATTTTGCATTTTACTACTGGACAGCAGTGCTTTGAGTTGTGAAATAATATTTGTAGTGGTTCCAGTTTTAGTGGGCACACGTTTTCTGCAGAGATTACACACCCAGCACCAGTCTGCTGTGTGTCGAAGGCACCGCCAATCCACCAGCACCTTTTTACTTGGTTTCTCCTTTTTAAAAAGATGCTGTGACTGCTGACACAGACACCAAAGTTTTCGCTCCCGTGATTCATGTGTTTTACCAGAACAGCATCAGTAAACCTTGCTGTGCGTGTTGTGCATATGTTGCCTGTTCTCGAAACACTGTGGTTTTGTTAGTGCTGACTGTCAGCGCTAACAGAATACCACAGCTCACATTTCTCAGTTCTCTGTGGATTTTTCCGTGCCCTTTCACTTAGGATTCCCCTGGATTCCCCTTATTGGATGGGTTACTTTGGACCTACCTGCTCTCCCAGTGAGCTGCCCCGTTGTTTTCACTGTGTTGTGTTTGGTCTGCCTTCCTGCCCTATTGCATTCTCTTATTTGTTCAATAAATCCCGAGTTTCTCTTTTTACACCCATGTCTGCACTTGCGCTTCGTTGCTGGTGCTGACAAGCAGTCACAGGAAGTGACATCATTTCACATCGAACTTCCATCGAGCACCTGTCACACAGATGTCGGAGGAAATTATATTCTGATAATTATCATTGTCATTTCATTGCCCTGCTCTTCATGACATCATGAAACCCCTAAACCCCCCAAGACTGACGCGTAGGATGTTTTGCATTACCAAGAACACAAAGATTATACTTGTGGTCTTGGCAAGACCGGTCTTGCTAATTTGCATCCCAAGAATGAACTTGGGGCTCAGTGAATCATGGGATTGATGTTGCTTGGCAAGGCACCTGATACATCTTTGATTTTTGGGGGGGGGCAAGAACAACATCCGCGGATTTTTACAGCCCTCTGTACTTGTGTTCTTGGTATTGGAACTGGTCATTGGCAATGGAAGATGATACAAAACAGGTACACGAGAACACAAGTACAATCAAGTACGCATACTGAGGAACACTCATTCGGCATCAAAATGGACCTCGTTTGGCACGAGAGGCAGGAGTTTTGTGAGGACCTGATTGGCTGTAAGTCAAAAATGACTCACATTATTACATGACCTTATTTTAACTGTGAGCACAAAAGCGATGTCTTCCAGTGGTACCGACAGGTTCTCACAGCCTCCTGCTAGTTAAACTGCAGAGGATTTTGTGACGTGTACAGTGACAGCTGGGCCGACATTGTGACAGCAAAGGACACAGCTCTGTCGCAAGGCTGGCTCTTACACAAGCCGGTCCCGCAATCTCCCGCCAAGGCCGTCTTTCGGCTGATGCCCTGAGGGTATTTATAGTCCATGCACCCCCTACTGTAGCTGCTAAAGCTATCCCAGGCTGTGACCTTGTGATAAAGATTTTCCTTTCATATTGGGGCCATAATATCTGTGACCCTTGGTTTCCAAATTGACCTGCAGGAGTCATTTCCAACTATGGTCGTATTTTGAGTGACATTGTAATTTGCCTAATGTACATAAATCGTTTGCAAATTTTGAGGAAGTGACAGCAGGAAAAACAGATTTTGACTGAAAGAGAAATATCACTGCTGAAATATGGAATTAATTTAGGCTAATCTACGATAAAGCCTTCAAAATCTCCTAAACATGCCGCTAACCACTACTGGCCAAAAGGTTTTATGGTTTGATAAAGTGGATCAAAGGAGCTTCTGATTTTATTGTAGTAATTTATGGGAACTTTAGTCAGATGAAAGTCTTCTGTTGTTGTTGTTCCAAAAGGTTAAAGGTGACTCAGCCTACATGTTCCAACCTGCAGTGACCTGAGTCCAAGATGAGTGTGACAAAAGCTAAGCCATGTTTCTTATAAGGAATCATCCAGAGGGACGACGGCTCCATGGAGCAGGAGATCGGAGAGCTGCGCCGGAGCAGGGCCAAGTCCCTCTCTAGGGGCAAGTTCACGCTGTGCGACGTCTTCTACTTCACCCGGAAAGGTATCGAGAGCATCGTGGAGGACGAGGTCACCCAGCGCTTCTCCTCTGAGGAGCTGGTGTCCTGGAACCTGCTCACAAGGACCAATAACAACTTCCACTACATCAGCCTGAGGCTAACCATCATATGGGGGCTGGGCGTTGTCATCCGCTACTGCGTCCTGGCCCCGCTCCGGTAGGCCCCCTGCTGGTGTGTTTGAAAAATGACAGCCATTTGTGTCACGTACATGATATAGCTGTGGTTAGTGAACACAGATCCAACCGATGGAAAGCATGGTCAGCGTGTAGTCATGGTTACCGAACCTTATGTATTCCACTCTCCATTCGATTGTGTGACAGTGGCCTCCTCTATGCTCCATGCAATGACATGATCATGTGACCCAGCTCTCCGTATCATTTCTTGGTCATGTGACTCTCTGCTTTCCACCACAGGATCACCTTGGCAACTATTGGGATATCCTGGCTGGTGACAGGGACATCCTTGGTGGGGCTGCTGCCTGACATCAGGTGATTTTCTGCATTCTCTTCAATCATTTGTACAGTTGTGATACTCTGAGCCTTGGGGAGAACAGGTCAACTCCACTAATGGAGAGCAGAGGTGGGATTCAAACCTGGAACCTCAAGGGCGTGGGCTCCTCTGGGCGTTTCACACACCCCGTCCTGCTGTAGACAAACCAGCAGTCACGCCCCTGCCAGCCGCTCTGGTGTTCGCACCCTGACACACACGGTAGATGTGTGGAGCTCAGCAAAGGGGAAGATCCACAGTCTATGTGTAATAATACTCCAGTGGGGGGGGTTATCGGTTGTAAAATCTTGCTTTTATGAGGTGCTGTCGTGATTAGCCAACACAGCTGGGAGCGTGAGGGGCAGGGACGTGGAAGGTGGCGGCCTGTACCCACACGGTCCCTCCCCTGATTGTGTAAGTGCTGGTTGCAGGCCGGGGCAGGACGAGTGTGAACCACAGCCTTACAGCCCTGGGTGACGTGGAATGTCGCCCCCACCCAGATTCTCCCTCTCCTTACCTGACAGCGGAAGATTCATGCTCTTCTGAAAGCAGGAATGCCAGCCGTTCACGCCTGACTGCACAGAGAGACAATTTGGTTTCGCGTGCTTTAAAAGACTTTGAGAACCTCATCAAACCCTAACAAGCTAAAGGGGAAGAGTACATATAACATTTCATCAGTGCCGTCCATGTGCCCGTCCTGCCCATGTGTGCGTGCCACTAGAATGATCATGTGACCCCTTCCAGTGTGAAGAGCTGGCTGAGCGAGCTGGTCCATCTCATGTGCTACCGGATCTGTGCCCGGGGCCTGTCTGCCACCATCCGCTACCACAACAAGTGAGATCACCCCGCTGCTGAATCCTGCCTGCCCACAGTGCCTTATCAGTGTTACTCATGCTCCCGCTTTGCCCGTGTTTTGGCCCTAATTCCAGACTGTCCTTTCTGAGTTTTACCACTTACTTTCTTTCTAACTATAGCCCTACCCTCTGACTGCTAATCTACGTCTGCTTTTACCTTGCTGACTTTCCAGTCCATCAGCCTTGGTCCTGGTAGCTAGCAGCCAGGCTATGCTACTCACTAACAGTGGCATTACCAGGTGGCTAACAGTCTCTGTCAGGTTATGCTTCTAACTAACAGTGACAATAGCAGATGGCTAACAATCTATGTAAGGCTATGCTACTACCTAACAGTGACATTAGCAGGTGACTAAAGGTCTGTGTCAGGCTTTGCTACTTGCTGACAGTGACAGTAGCAAGTGGCTAAAAGTCTGTGTCAGGCTATGCTACTTGCTGACAGTTACATTAGCAGGTGGCTAACAGTCTCTGTCAGGTTATGCTTCTAACTAACAGTGACAATAGCAGATGGCTAACAATCTATGTAAGGCTATGCTACTACCTAACAGTGACATTAGCAGGTGACTAAAGGTCTGTGTCAGGCTTTGCTACTTGCTGACAGTGACAGTAGCAAGTGGCTAACAGTCTGTGTCAGGCTATGCTACTTGCTGACAGTTACATTAGCAGGTGGCTAACAGTCTCTGTCAGGCTATGCTACTTGCTGACAGTTACATTAGCAGGTGGCTAACAGTCTCTGTCAGGCTATGCTACTTGCTGACAGTT